CCATTGTGCATCCTAGGGGTATTACAGGGGACTTGATAGTCGCAGTAGGGCCATTTTCATATCCTGTTGATTTTGTTATTCTTGATATTAATGAGGATATGGAGGTGCCTTTAATTCTGGGTAGACCTTTTCTCGACACCGCCAAGGCTTGATTGATGTTAATGATGGTAAACTGATTTTGAGGGCTGGGGATGAACAAATTACCTTATCTGTTTCTGATAATATGAAACACCCCCAGCTCCATGATGATTTGGATTACTGTGATGTGATTGGTGATTTTGAGACCACACTCGCCATCACGAGTGCGGGTACTAATGATTTCCTCGAGCTTTGTCTTTTGATAGGGGAACAGGAATTAAAGGAGCTGCAGCTGGAGGAGCAGCTCACAAAGCTAGAGGGAGCCGCAATCGAGGGGAGAGAGAAGCCATTCAAGTCGATCTCTATCTCGCTCGGGATCGCCACATCATTGGTGGAGCCACCGGAGCTAGAGATTAAGCCCCTCCTCTCTCACCTGGAGTACGCATTTCTCTGGGAGGGGAATAAGCTCCCGGTAATCATCAGCTCGGAACTGACTTCCCAGAAAAACAACATTCTGGTGGCTCTGCTGAAGAAGTACGCCCGGGCCATGGAAGGGAAGATAACTGACATTAGAGGCATTGACCCATCCTTCTGCTCCCACAAAATTCTGATGGAGCATGAGGTTAAGCTAGTCAGGCAGCTGCATCGAAGATTGAATTCTAACTTGGAGGCAGAGGTCCGGGCAGAGATCGTGAAGTTGATGGATACAGGGATCATTTTTGTTATATCTTATAGCAAGTGGGTCAGTCCCACTCATGTGGTTCCGACGAAATGCGGGATGAGGGTGGTCCCAAACGAGAAGAACGAGTTGATCCCGATGCGGACCGTGATTGGTTGGAGAGTCTGCATCGACTATGGTACCTGAATGACGCCACCAAGGAGGACCATTTCCCGTTGCCTTTCATTGACCAGATGTTGGAGAGGCTGGCGGGGCATGAGTTCTAATACTTGTTGGATGTTATGTCTGGGTATTTCAAGATCCCGATTGCACCGGAGGATTAAGCTAAAATGACCAGATGTTGGAGAGGCTGGCGGGGCATGAGTTCTACTACTTGTTGGATGGTATCTAGGTATTTCAAGATCCCGATTGCACCGGAGGATCAAGCTAAAATGACCTTCACCTGTTCATTTGGTACCTTCACGTACCGGAGAATTCCTTTTGGACTCGGTAATGCACCGACGACCTTCCAACGGTGTATGTTGGCGATCTTCGACCGATTGGTTGGAGAAATTATGGAAGTCTTCATGGATGACTTCTCCATTTATGGAGACTCCTTCTTGCACTATCTCCGTAACCTAGAGCTTGTCCTGAAGAGGTGTGAGGAGACGAACTTGGCGCTCAGCTGGGAGAAGTTCCACTTCATGGTTCGTGAAGGTATCGTGCTCGGGCACAAGATCTCCAAATAGGGGATCGAGGTAGATCGCGCGAAGATAGAGACAATCAACAAGCTACCTCCCCATGTTTCTGTGAAGGGGATGCGCAGCTTTCTTGGTCATGCAGGCTTCTACCAGCGCTTCATCAAAGATTTTTCGAAGATTTCCCTGCCATTGACCAAGCTGCTTGTGAAAGACGAGCTAATGTGCGATGCGAGTGATTATGCAGTTGGAGTTGTTCTTGGTCAGAGACGCGATAAACATTTCCAGCCTATCTACCACGCGTTGAAGACCTTGAACGATGCTTAGGTGAACTACACCACCACCAAAAAGGAGTTGCTCGCCGTGGTGTATGCATTTGACAAGTTCCGATCGTATTTAGTGCTTTGTCATGTCGTGGTCTATACCGACCACTCGCTATTTGATGACCAAGACTGACGCCAAGCCGAGGTCATCCACTGGATCCTGCTTCTGCAGGAGTTTGATATAGAGATCCGAGAGAAGAAGGGAGCAAAGAATGTTGCTGCAGATCATCTTTCACGATTGGAAAGCCTCTCCGGTGGACAATTTTGTGGAAAATATTAACGATTGCTTCCCGGACGAGCGCTTGTTGGCACTGTGATTGGTGGAAAGTGTCACTCCTTGGTTTTCTGATCTTGCAAATTATCTGGTGGGCAAACAATTAACAAAGGGGTTGGCTACTCACGCTAAGCGCAAGTTCTTCTCCGACCAAATGCACTATTTATGGGAGGATCCATACCTTTCAGGATGGGAGCAGATGGCGTGATCCGGCGTTGCATCATGAAGCACGAGATGGACCCACGGGAGTTCATCATGGCGGGAACCACACAACACAGAAGGTGTTGCAGTCGGACTTCTACTAGCCCTCGCTCTTCAAGGATGTCGATATCTTCGCATGACGGTGCGATCGTTGCCAGAGGTCAGGTAACATTTCTTCCCGGGATGAGATGCCCCAACATATATCTATCGTTTGTGAAATTTTTGATGTTTGGGGCATCGATTTCATGGGCCCGTTTCCTCCATATTTTGGTAATCTGTACATACTGGTTGCGGTAAGCTACAACCATGCCCACCAATGATGCAAGATGGGTCTGATCCTTTCTTAAGCAGCTGTTCTCCTTGTTTGGAACACCTCGAGCCATCTTAAGCGATAGAGGAACCCATTTCCCAGGACAATTCGCCAAACTCCTCTCTCACTATGACGTTAATCATCAGGCATCGGTGGCTTACCATCCCCAGATGAATAGTCAAGCCGAGCTGACGAACTGGGAACTTAAGAGAATAATTGAAAAGACTGTGGATTAGTCCTTAAAGGATTGGTCCACAAAACTCGATGATGCTCTCTGGGCATATGGGACAACCTACAAGACTCTGATTGGTACTTCCCCACATCGACTTGTAGGGCCGGTAACTGGATACCGAACTAGTAACTGGAGGGTACTGGTTTTACTGTTAACCGACAATCTTGGTAGGTGGTGGAAAAATAATACCACTCGGTATAGCAAAGTGGATCCGGTAATTAACCGGCAGTTATCCGGTAATATCGGATTACCGATACTCAACATAAATCGACGAAAGCCCTTCTCTTCTCTCCGTTTTCTCTCTCATCCCTCCCATAGACCCACAGCCAGAGAACAATCTTCCGCCCCAGGATCTCCTCCTCTACCCTTTTCATTTCATCCGCTCGTCAAATCCCTAGAGAATATCGCCATCTCCAGCAACTGCGTGCCGCCACCAGGCCTCCTTTGGTGGCTTGTTCACTTGCAACAGATCTCGTCAACGGATCTAGACAAGGCGATGCACGACGAACCAGGATGAATCGGAGAAGGCAAAGCCATGGGAACTCACCTATCAATGAAAGTCGGCGAGGAATTTCAAAAATCCCCTTCACCTTCCATTCCGGCCAAGGTAAATCGAGACCATTCGACGACGGTGAGGGTCAAATCAGAATGAATCCCCATCGAGTTCTGAACTACTTTCGTCGATTCATCATGTTCGGAGGATTGCCGCTGCTGATTTGTCGCCAGATTTGGATGAAATCATCGGAAAAGAGATGAACCCGTCGGGATCTGGACTACGCCGCCGATTCATCATGTTCGGAGGGATTGTCGCCAAGGTAGATCTCTATCGCTGCCGCTACCCAATTGCTCTCGCTGTCGCCCATTCGCTCTCGCTGCCTCCCAGTCGCTATCGTCGCCGATGGCAACAGAGTCCGAGCGACAGCCGTCGTCCTCTTCGGTCTCCACAAGCTGCCTTTCTCCCCATTTCTGGATTTGTTAGTGAGAAGAAGGAAACTTTTTTTTTGTTGAATAGAAGAAGAAGAAGAAGAAGAAGAAGGAAACTTGAAAAGTGCAATGCGGGTCTGGGAAAAAAGGAAAGAAGAAGTTAATTATGCGGTTAGCCGGTTGCTAATCGTAAGCCGGGTAGTCGGTTAGCAGGTTAACCAGTTTCCTTCCAGTTACGGTAATCGGCAGCATTTTGGGGATAGTCGGTATACTGATAACCGACCGATTACCACCCCTATCGGCTTGACTATGAAAAGGCTTGTTATTTGTCGGTGGAGCTAGAGAACAAGGCCTTTTGGGCCCTTTAGCTGCTAAATCTGGATTTGAGTGTTGCAGGTACTGAACGTAAACTGCAACTGCTGGAATTGGAGAACTGGAAATACCACGCATATGAGAATACCTGGCTCTATAAGGAGCGAACCAAGCGTCTCCACGACTCTTGGTTGAAGGGCCCTAAGGACTTTCAGGTTGGTGATCGAATTTTGCTCTGTAATGCACACCTGAAACTCTTCTCGAGCAAGCTGCGCTCACGGTGGACGAGACCATTCACGGTCACCTAGGTATTTCCGCATGGTGCGGTAGAGATCACCAATGCTAAATTTGAGCCGTTTAAGGTGAACAGACACCTCCTTAAGCTGTATCTGGGAGGTGATGTAGAACGCACGGAGCTGCTGATCAAACTCGAGGACCCTTAATTCCTCCTCCGTCCAGCTAAAAGACGATAAATAAGCGTTTGTGGGGAGGCAACCCCACCACGATTTGCATTTTCTTTCCCTTTTTCCTCTTTTTTTTTTGTTTTTGTTTTTGAGTCTGTTTAGAACCTATTTTGTGAGCCGGAGTGGCATGTTTTTGTCTGTGGTAATGTGTTTTCCAAGCCAGGGCACAAATGAGGTTTGGTTGTTTGAAATAGCAAATTTGAATTGTGGCTGAGGCATGTTCAACTGTGTTTTGTCTCCTTTCCCAGTCCCCCTTCGGCATTAAAATCACGGTCACGTGGGGGTTGAGAACACGACCGTGTTTCTCCCCCAACGCGCCCGTGTTTTGCAATACGAAAGGAACCCCCTCGGCCCTAAAAGCACGGGCACGCCACACACGAAACACGGAAGTGTCCCTCACCCTCCCATGTTTTGGTCCCCCCTATAAAATGTGAAATCCGGCTGGTTCTCTCTCTCCTCCATCATTTTCAAACTCCTTCCTCTCTCCTCTCGCCGGAAACTCGGTCTTCTCCGCTCCCTTGGTGGGTTTTACGCCAAATATTTTTTCGCGGTCTCCAAATTAAAACCCAAGACCACCACCATGCTTGGCGTCGAGGAGCACCTTCCCCAAAAGTTTGGTACCATTTGGCGGAGGTCGAGTCACCGGCGACAAAGCTCTGACGAGGATCCCGCGAGGTCTCTGGGCTGTTTCCGGCGACGTTTCGAGTTTCTTTCCTCTCACCTTCCCCGTGGTATCTAATTGCGTCTCAAAGTGTGCTTCTCATTTTATCTTGGTTAATTTTGGAGAATTGATACCTAGGGTTCTAGGTGAATAACTTGAGATTTTTGTTTGCATTGTGTCCGTTTGGTAGGTCGATGGATTTTGTGTGCTTGATTCGATATTCCCTTGACTTAGTTTCGCCGGCCTACCGATTGCATGTGTAGAATTCTTCCAATTTTTGCTTGATTGGAGATTGCTTGTTAAACTGCAAATTGGATTGATGCATGTCTGTTGAGTGAATGTTTATTCCACTAGGAGCCTAGTCCACTTCCAAATCTTTCGATTTGAGGGCTCTCAATGTGATTTTTCCTAACAATGACCCATTCCTCTGTATGGAATTTGTGCTTTCGGTTAAATTGCAGGATAATGGAAGACTACCTGGACCTCCTGAACCACACTCGGTGCCAGCGCCTGCGGAACATCTGTAGTCGTCACATCTCTGAGCACCTGCATCTCGACTTCGAGGCGCTCCACGCTCGCGAGGAAATGGAGGCTGTTTTGCGCTCCTCTGCCTCGCTGAGCCGACGTACTAGGAGCTGGTATGGGAGTTCTACTCCACCTTTTCCCATTCCCAAAGGAGGTCGGCTGACCATGCCGACGTCGTCCAATTCACACTCGACGAGGTTGGGCACTCCATCAGCTACTGGGAGTTGGCCAATGCGCTCGACCTCAACTCCCCTCACACTAGCGAGAGCTCTTTGGATCTTGAAGAGACCGACCCCATCGACTTTGAGGACCAAGCATTCTTTGAGCGCATTTGCCTTCCCAAGACAGTGGGCGAGGAGTACACACCTAGCCAGACCCGGGCCACTTTCCTCCATCTGAAGTGGTGAATCCTCAACCACCTGCTCACTTAGCCATATACACCCAGTCGGGGCTCCGCCAACCGTGTCACCCTCCGGACTATGTACTTCATGCACTCGATGGGCCTGGAGGAAGACTCTATGTAGCTAGACTCTGTTGTCGCTCAAACATTTGCCAAGGTCTCGGCTTCCTAGGATTGCTTTATTGTCTGCGGACCAGTGATCACGGCCTTGGCTCGCTACTATGAGGTTGATATTGCTGGCATGACCCTAATCCGCGCCCCGACTCCCCTTGGCAAAGCTACTCTCCAGAATTAGCATTTTCTCAAGCATGATGGCCCTCTAACATGGATAAAGGGTCTCCCTAAGCCACCTGCGGTTGCTCCTGCTGGGGCCGACCATCCGGAGTCGAGTGTTGTTGGTGGGGCGGCATAGCCCACATCGTGCAACTCGTCGTGCCCACGTACCGGCGGGCCCATCAACCTCTGTCACAGGACTTTTGCTGTCCCCACGATGTCTGTTGCTAAGCAGTTAATGACTATTGCTCGTCAGAACGAGCTCATTCTAGGTGGCCAAAAGCACCTCAATTCTCGCCTTGATCGTGAGCGTGATGGTCGTCGTCGCATCATTTCGGCTCAGCACTATATGATGCACTACTGGGACATGAACCCTGCTGATGTTCACTACCCCTAACAGGCTCCCTGGAGCATGAGGATAACTACCTGCCTCCAGCTGGCGATGGTGGAGATGAGCCCTAGGCTGGATCCGATTGATCCCTCATGGGATGCTAGGTTATGTACTTTTCTTTCTTTTCAGAATGAGACTCCGTGTATGTTTTCTGGTTTTTTTTCTTTTTATTTATATTATAGACTGGGAACTATGGTTTCTTTCACCCAGTGTGTGTGTTTTCCTGACTCTAGCTCTGTTCCCTTTGGACTAGTCCCCTACTCTTGATTGGTTTGCCTTCCCGTCACCGTTCGCGCTCATCATTTCCCAGTAACATTGTTTCCCTTCCATCTGCTCCATTGCGGGCAATGTCGAACTTAAGTGTGGGGGTGCTTTCTATTTATTGGAACATATGTATGTGTGCTTGGATGGAGCCTAGTCCGCTGTCCAAATCTCAAGATTTGAGGGCTCCAAGCACTTTTTCTCCATTTGCACGATCAAGTTGGCACTGTGTGTTTTGGTGATCTCTGATGACAGTTGGCATTAATGCGTGAATAATTTTCTTGTGACTAAAATGACCGTAATGATGACTAAGATTCACAGTAGGATGATCTGTAGGTTCAGTATTGCTCCTGTTTGAACCAACTTGTGACATGGATTGCTTACTTACTGTCTACAGTTCTCTATGCATCTAGTTAAGGAAATCAGAATGAAAGATAAAGCATATAGGTAGCCATGTGAGATTTGAGCCTTTTCGTTTCTTTCTTGTGTGATAGGTCCCTCTTCCATGATGTGTAGCATTCACGTTGACACTAGTTAGGATGATGGAGGCATAGGATAAGCCCACGACCAAATTGACTGTCCTGGTGTGTCAAATCCCCTAGTCAGCCCCTTTGATTCGTGAGCGTTCTTTTTCGGTCTACAATGAAAAATCACCCTTTTGCATCTCTTAGATGTTCCACAGAGTGATTTTTGCATGTTTTTCTGATGTTTCTGCTAAGAATAAGATGCGGGTTGGAGATAGTTCTTTAAAATTGGGCATGTGCGTGCAAGGATAAAAGATATGTAAAAGGGGTGGCTCTCTTAAGAAAAGAATTTTTTTTTGAATGAAAACAAAAGAGAGGGACCACAAAAATCTAAACCATGCCCATTAAATAGTGTTTCTTAGCAACTTGGCTTAGAAATACTAACATGTTGTGACCTCCTTCACTCTTGTGCTCTAAAGAACTTGATTAATGCGGAATGGAAGAAAGAAAGTCAATGGTTTGAATGAATGTTGTTGTGTTTGGTTTAGGAACCGTGGAACCTTGTGTATGAATTCTTCCACCACCTAAAAGGCCTTTCCCCCATGTCCAAGACCCTAGCCAGTCATCTAAATCTGTGTCTAAGACCTCCTGAATATTTAGTGGTGTCACCCGATATGTGAACTCTAGCATTTAGAGGCTACCATCATGGTGAAGAGACATTAGGATTGAGAGAATAAGCATGCATATTTTTTTGCATCAAATTGCCCTGACCCCACTGATCGAGAGTGAGCGATTCATTTGCTTATATTCTTTATCCCGGCGAGGACCTTGATTGCTCAGTATTTGATTATGGTGACTTGAACTCTATGCATGGTTTACTGTGGTGTGTGAATAGGCGAGTCGTGTCACGCTTTGGTTTGTGAACATTCGTTAGACTCTTCCTTTTCATAATCTTACTGCGATAGGTTGTCATCTGCATGGTCATTGAGGTTTCTATTGCTGTCGTGCATGTGTTGGTACTAGCTTTCTGTTGAGATCCGTGTGTTTTGTGCCATATGCCATGTCCCCTAAATTATTTTGATTGTAAATGGTGCTAAGCTTACTTGGTGTATGACTTGATTTGCTTAAGGACAAGCAAACGGTAAAGTGTGGAGGAATTTGATAACGTTGTATTTTCACAAGTTTGCACCCTCGTATCTTATCCGTTTTGGCTTGTAGTTGTGTATCTTTGTCCTATTTTATGCTGGGTTGCTTTCTTTTGTCATACTTCAGGTCCCAAACGTCAAAGGAAGGTCTAAGCGCAAGTTTTGGGTCATTTGGAGGTCATTCGGTGAAGTTGGAGCAAAACACGGGCAGCCTTACTCAAGAACACGGTCGTGGTTCACTAAGGAGCATGCCAGTGCTTTTTAGTGCGTAGGTCAAGTCGAAGAAAGGCGATAACACGGGCGCCATCGTTCCGAAGCACGCCAGTGTTTTTTATGCCGAGAGCTTATTTGTGACTGCTTCTGAAAAACGCAGAACATGGGTGCATCACGATTGAAGCACGTTCGTGTCCCTCATTGGGCACGACCGTTTTTTCCTTGGAGCGGGCGTGTTTCTCCCACATTGGTTTAAGTTGTACCACATGGCTTTGAAGAACACATGCGGGATGAGAAGGACACGGCCGTGTTATGACAGTATCAGGTTAAACTGGCAGTTTCGAACCAAAAGATGGGGAATCGGATTTTCAGAGCAAAAGCAGAGTTCTAGAGAGATAAAGAGCAAAGAACAAACCCTAGGATCGATTTTGGAGCTGGGTTTTGGATCCCAAACACCCAAGGGATGAACCAAAGAGAGAGAGGGGGCGATCTACAGCCATTCTTGGAGCTATTTTGGAGGATTCTTCACCATTGAAGCTCAAGGAATAAGTCTAGACATGAAGATTGAAGATCTGGAAAGTTATAGTGCAATCTCTCTCTTCTCTATAGAGTAACTTCCCTTCACTTAGGTTTTGAGGAACCCTAGTTCCATGTGTTAGGATCTTTCTTGTTTGAAACTTTGGATGTTATACTAAATGTTTTAATCAATTGAGGCATGATTGTTGAGTCAATTGAATATTGATCACTTTCCTTTGATTTCTGCTTTAACCTTTGATAGATAGAATCTGATTGGGTTAAGAGAGCTTTCTCAATTGGTAGTAGGGAATTGATTGTAGAAGAGTCAGTCAATTCACTGCTTTGTACTGGAATTCATTCCAGTGATGGAGATCTTTGTGTATTGCCTTAGCTTTGTACTCCGGTGGAGGTTAGTTGCCCGCCGAGTATTTTGTCTAAGAGGGCTTGGTCAGCTTAAGAGATTCCAAACTATTATCGGATCTTCCGTAGTTTAATCAATAGTAAAACAACCAAAGGAAATTACAAATTGGACCTAATTGAGGAGCTAGGGGGAATCATACCCGAGTGAGTAACTCTAGAGACCCATGGAGTAGTTTAGTAAATCAATCATTAATTTGGTTTGATAGATAATGAACTGAAGCTGAGTAATAGTAACTCTAGAGACCCGTGGATTCGACATTTATTACTTGTACCACTATATTGCAGTCTCTTTCATTGGTTACACTTGGCCATTGTTAGGAGTTGTGTCGTAGCGTGTCGGGAGGGAATTTGAAGAGAAAATATATTGTACTGGCCATCCCTTGTGCTCTATTTGACTTTTTACCTAAGCGTTGCTTGACTCTTGAGAGTCATCTGAATCAGTGTTATCTTTGAAAGCATGTGGAGGTTCAAGTAGTGCCTGAATATCCTATTTTTCTTTGACCATAAGTCCCAGATGATATTGATCGATGAGAACCATATATCCTTTGTGCTCATCTTCTGAGTTTAATTTATCCGACCTTCAGCAGCTGCAACTCTAAGTATCATCAACTCTCGTTATTGTCCTTGTTTCTTGTTTGGACAGTCAGCTCTAAAATGTACAGGTCTCCCACACCTGAAGCAAGTAAAAATACCACATCGAAATTCAAAGCTCCTTTCTATATCTGTAAGGTTCTTGTGAAGATTATGCATTTTTTTACAATATCTCTTATCTTCTCCTGATCTATCGGGCTTATTTTTCTGATTTCTTTTGAATTTCAGATAATTGTTTTCAAAGAAAAGAAAAAATTTCTTCAATTTCCTCTTCATCATTTGGAATGTGAGACTTTAGAGCTAAATCTTTTCTCTTTCTAGGTTGCTCATTATCCTCAATTATAAGCACATTTTCATGTGCTGTTAGTGAGCCAATTAGCTCATTTAACTCAAATTTTGCAAGATCCTTTGATTTTTCAATAGTAGTTACTTTTGGTCTCCATGATGTAGGCAGGAGATTTACAATTTTACTAACAAGGTCTGCATTCATATATAGCTTTCCTAGAGCATCGTTCATACATCTCAACTATGCTCTTGTATTAATTCATTTTAAACAATTCATATTCTTTCAATAATATTCTTATTCTAGTGTCCTTACATATACCTTCATATGTGACCTCCAGTGTATCCCATATTTCTTTTGTGAATTTGCACATTGCCACTTTGCCATATTCCTCTACACCAAGTGCACACTCGAGAATGTGTTGCTTTGGCATTGATATGTAAGTTCACCAAGTCCTTTCATGACTAGCCACTCATTTCATTGTCCACCATTTCTGGACCCCTTTTGAAATTGATCCAGACCTTCATGTTATAAGCTTGATGAAAGTCTTTCATGCATCCATTCCAGAAGGCATAGCTATTCCCATTAGCTTTGGTGGTCTTGTCATTGATTGTCTGTAGACTTGACTCTTAAGTGATTGGAAACAGATGGCTTAGCATTCTAACAGATGAGCTTTGCTCTTCCAGCCTTGGATCGATTTCCACGTCAGAGACCTGCTCTGATACCAATTGAACAACCTATGTAGCTCGAAAATGGTTAGTAATAAATGTAATAGAAATCAAGGAAAGAGATAAAAGGGTTAATATTCTTCCAATCGGATAGTCCAAGTGTTTGGATATAGGCCCAAGTATCTTTGAAACAAAAGGTTTACTTTAATTATATTATATATCTTATTTTAAAATGCAATTCAAGAGGATTATTCACGACCGAGTATTAACCACGTTATTTTTTTAAGCAGAAATGACCAATTATCCCCAGTGACAATAGTTCTTTGCGCCACCTAGGCATTCAAAACCATAGATTGGACATTGAAGGGGAGGAATTCTTCAATGGTCCCGGGTCATCACATCAGCCAGCCCATGTGGTGCTCCCCTACCATTAAAAAAACGACACCTGTAAAACTAATTTAATACGTGATAAAACTTTGTCTCATTGATTTCCCCTTTTATAATTAATTAAATATTTCCTTATTTTCTATTCTTTTATCCCCCCTCACATCTTCTTTCCTCTTTCTTCTACCCCATCGTCTTCTCTCTTCCTCTGCTAATATCTCTGCCTCTGTAAAATCCATTCTTCATCTCACTTCCTATCCTGGTCCATCACTAAAGCCAATATGAAATTACCAAATCAAGCAATGAAATTGAGGATGGGAGAGGATGATTAAAAGAAAGATGAAGGGATCGTTGGCGGCAAATCTGTGTGTGTTAGTGCTCGGCATCTGTAAGACGATGCATTATTGATGCATACTTTGGGTTGTTGTACGCATTCAATCATGGACATGCATTATTGATTTACTTCTTCTAATTTGTGCTAGTGGGATAATGGTGGTTTGGGCTCGTTTTCTGGCTTGAGATAATTAATTAACTTTGGCATTACATGTTATTATCCAAGGTTTTGTTCTGCGGACTCCAAAGTAATGATGCTTGGGAAGCGAAAATGAAGCCCGCTTTATCATCTGTGTGGCTTTGAAGTACAAATGATGCCTACCCTATGATCTTGTAACTTGCAAGTTGAAATGCAGAACCATGGATCTTTGTACAAAAGTTTAACTAGGTTATGCTAGGCAGAGTTTCACTTTTTACTATAAGGTTTAGGCATTGGTTTTCCTATGTGTGGGTTTGTGGTAGGGGTTGGGGTTCCCACAAGTGTATGAGGCATAAATTTTCTAGAGCTGCTGATGAGAAAATTACATAATTTTCAAAGGCGGAATCTGCAGACTGCAGTTTTTGATAGCAACAACATCAAACTTGGAAAAAAAGTAGTTGAATAAAACAAGTTGTAGATTGCATGATGTTTGACAATAAAACTTAATCTTATACAGACCAACTGAAGTAGTTAAGACATAATACAACAATCAAGTTGAAAATAATAGTTCCATTCTAGAAGTAGCCTATAAGGAAATGTAGGTGGGGGGGGGGGGGGGATCCGGAGTTCCTGAGCTGCAACTTTTAGTTCCCATTCTCTGTTTCTGAAGCCTGCAATCATTAAAAATTGAATGCTTATGGTAGAGAAATGAATATAGTAATCTATTAATAGGAAACACATATAAAAGCATTCTATGATAGTCAGTTAAATGATGACCTGATTTGCATATAAGAATGGCCACATTAGATTTCCCGGGTATGATTGAGGCAAAGCATTATGTAATTGTGATAAGTAAATAATCAACCATGATAAGTTGACAAACATAGTCGTAGATATATTTTATAGGATAAATCATGAACCTGATTGAGAAGAATCATTGGACTTGTACTAGTATTTGGCATCATATTCACGTAGGAAAGGTTTGGAAAACTCCCACCTTGTCAGAACATTCAATATTTATTGGACTTAATATGCACGAAAAGAGTGCAACCAACAAAAATGGAGGAGATAAACTACCAATTGTTCTGCTGCAAAATTATTGAAACTAGTAGCTTGAGGTACACTAAAAGGCGGCTCTCCCATTGCAAAATTATTGAGTCTAGTAGCGTGAGGCATAGTGAAAGTTGATACTGACTACATATTGATAAGTGCATTATCAGACAGTTGAAATCACTTGTTCAAACATATAAAGAAACATTGATATCACTAACAAGTTAAGTTGACATATACCGACGAAAGAGTTTGCCAATGCGGGGTTTGAACAGGGTTCGTTTCTCTTTGCTCCGATACATTTGACATAGAATTTTTCCCTGTAACACCCTCTTAGTAGTTTTTATGATAAAAATAGTTATAATTCAGAAAAATAAGAAGGTACTGAATATGAAATACTTACTAGATGATGTTTTTCCAGATTTTGGCTTGCGCTTCTCAAAATGCCCTTCTACTCTGCCATTTGATCCTTTTGACTTAGCTTGAGGAGGATCCAGTATTGGAGTTTCATCTGCTTCTAAATGGTTGCCTTCTTTCTCAACATGGTTACCCATATCTAGTTTAGCCAATTCTTGCTCCACTTTCAATTCAAGATCCAACAAGCTTGCTTGACATATTTTCCTGATGTTTTCATGTTGTTGGCTTTTATATATGAAACCACTCACTATACGCATCATAGAGCTTCGCCAAACTATTTCTGCTTCTTCGGTTTTAACAGAAACTAGATCTTTCTCATACTCCATCATTCCTCTTTTTGCCTCTTTGGTCCAGCGTCTCAGAATATAGTTCTTAGGTATATTCGTAATGTTCCTCATATTGAGAATTTTTAAAGCATGACAACAAAGTATCCCCTTTGCCTCGAACTTCCTACAAGAACAAAAAAACTTCATTCTTCTGCATGTCAAAATGCACTGTCCGAACTCTGCTATGACCCTCTTCTTTAACCTCATATATGTATGTCAACCCATCACTATCTGTTTCTCTCCATGTAGTTGCAATGCTTGAAAGGAATTCTTTCTGAACCACCATGTACATAGTAATGGTATAAACGGCTGCAGCATGTGCTAAAATGTCAGAATGTTTAACCATCAAAGGTGGAGTACTTTGCTTACAGCGAAAATCCTTTTGTTGCTCCCTTGAACGCAAATTTGCAACTAGGTTCTCAAACTAAATAGTGAAATCAGTAAGATATGCGGTTTTCCCTGCTATACCATTTAAAAGATTATTGGTACTTTCACTTCTCTGAGATGACCTGATACCAGCAGAAAAGTATTCATGACTGTAGACTGTGCTCCACTTTCTTCGAATTTCATACATTCCATTAAGCCAACTATGACCTGCAATGTCATACTTTTCTTTCATTTCAGCCCATGTCTCTTCAAATTCTTTCTCTGACTCGCAACCTGTACAACACCTATTCCACAACGTCTGAAAAGAAGAATCCCCATTCAAATCACCAAAATGAGATGGCGCATTCTTGCTAATGTGCCATAAGAATAAACGATGTGTAGTGTTTTTAAACACCTCCTTGATTGCCTTTGCCATAGCAGCATCTTGATCAGTGAAGATGGTAACAAGTGATCCATTTCCCATTGACTCCAAAAATGACTTGAATAACCACCCAAATGTTGCAGCAGTCTCATCTAATATGAATGCACAACCAAATATCGTATTATGCCAATGATGGTTCACACCCACAAATGGTGCACAAATAAGATTATACTTATTTGTGCGATACGTGGTGTCAAATATCATATCATCTCCAAAGCAATCATAGTCTATTCTTGATCTTCCATCCCGCCAAAAGAAATTAGTCAAACGATTCTTTTGATCAACTCATAAAAAACATTGGGTCTGATGCTTTCTTCTTCTTGAAATAGTTCATCACACTTTGAGCATCCCCTGCTTCAATTTTCACCATCTTTTGTCTATCCACATGATTGTAACAATCTTTTGGTAAGAATCCAACATTTTCGGCTCCTCCATGTTTCTTGCATAAGTAGGAATAAGCATCTCTAGTGCGAAGCCCTGCATCTTTCATCGTGTCAATCACTCTTGCCTTAGCAGCTAACACCTTACGACCCGATTTGAGTAGATGTTGCTCTGATGGCAAGGCAAGTTTGTGATTATGTGTCAGGTTGAAATCTGTCACCTTCCGTACCTCATTCTCTATGCTGAACCGAATAAAGGCTTTACACCTAGTTCTTGTTAACATCCTATTCACCTTTTTTTGCCTCACACGAGTCATCATTCATGCTAGTTCCTTGTTTTGAACATAAAAACTCACGTTGAATTATTTTCTTTGTTGTAGCAGAATGTCTGTATTTGCCTCGACGGACACTGAACCCAGTCTTCAAAGCATAATTATTGTAGAGATTATAAGCTTCCTCTTCATTAGAAACCACTCTCCCATATAAATTATCATCATCACTAGCAACCCGAGTAACAAATTGTTGAACCTCATCATGTTTGCCATCAACATTTATATCTTCTTCAATATCCATCCCTAATTAAATGAAGGGCAAATACAACTGTTATGTAGTACGACAAAGAGGAACAATCACTTTGCAGCCTAGTATTAGAAAAATTAACCGAACAATTGATGTGCTGCCTAGTTTCCTAGCATAATTACAACAAAGATGAATCCAGATTAGCTAGAAATAGGGTGAAAAAACAAATATCCAATTGGCTACTGCTCCTATATGTTGGTATGCATATTTAAGACCATAAAATTGAGATGGAAGTAGTTTACCTGTCGAGATTAATTGAAGAAGAAGAGAACGAACAGTGCGACTTGACTTCTGGGAAACGGCTGATGGTTTACGGCGGGTGGTGAGCGATTAGTTTTTTGCTCCTCTTCCTAATTAGGCAGCAAACGCCAAACGATGCAGGGGCGGAAATCAGAACGTGTTTACGTTAAAAGAGGAGTTCATTTAATTAATTGTTCAATTCCCCAAATAATTAATTAGCTATTGAATCCCGTGGGAAATTAATTAGCTTTTTAATGACAGGTGTCTCTTTATTATTGGACCGGAGCACCAAATATGATAGGTGACGTGGTGAGCCGGGATCACCTAAGAATTCCTCCATCGAAGGATGAAGGAGATTGGAATGATAAAGTCCAACTGAATTGGAGAAGAAGACGTCGTTAGTTGCAGAGGAAGAAGATAAACTTGCACCCGCCATCGCTATGCTCATCATTTCTATTTGATTTCTATTTGCTAGCGATTGCTTTTGCTTCTTTCTTCCTCGGACCACTTGTTTTGCAAATCTCCATGATTCTGGTTTCCCTATTCGTTTTCTGAATTTCTTTGCTAATTGTTTATTGTGAAAGTAAACAAATGTTTCAATCTCCTAGAAAGGTGAAAGCAAAGACTATGACCTTTCCAATTGATTGTGAAGCGGGAATTGATTTCCAATCTCCTCTGCCATCGCCACTCTGCCTTACCTCTACGAGCTCGGCTCAACAATATCTGATTCATCAAGCCGTTTCCAACCGTCGTCCTAAGGATGACCAGACTCTCTTTCCTCGACACCAGTTGAATTGTTTCTCTGATCTCCGCTACCCAGTTGGCTCCTCCATCCCCAAGCTCGGATTCGACCGCCAACAACTCTTATGCCTCCTCTAGCTTCTTCCTCTGACATGCAGTCGGAGGCGATGAGGTGGTGGAAATAGGATGAGCTCTGTGCCTAATTGCGGATTAGATAATTCCTCCTTTTCATTTCACGTGGCAAATCAATATTAGAATTTTTTTTGTTTATTTTATTTTAGTATTTATATATTTTTTGCTCCTAGCAGCTGCAACGTGTAAGTATGTTATTGTTATTCAAATTAGAGCACCATATGTAGTTCATTTTTATCCAAATCCTACAGTGGAGACCATGGGGCAAGAAATAAGTAGGGTTGCAGTAGTGGTGGTAATGATGAGCCCCAAACCTCGAGCTAGGGCTTAATTCGTTCAGTTTGAGCTTCGCGACAACAAAACAGGGGAACGTAGGATGGAATTTGGTCGTGCAATTTCTCGCCGAGAATTGGGGAAGAGGCTCGATCAATTTTAGTACTTAACTCATCGATAATTGAGGGGCTACTCAATTGATGCCGAGCTCGCTAGATTCAGGATGGCTCGTAGTTGTTAGTGCCCTTCGATTGACAGCAAAAAACTTGTCCGGTAGTGGAGGAATTTATGCCTGAATTTCCTCGTCGATCTCGTCCCCATCAGAATCGTTTATAGTTTTCACCAGGGTTTCCTCATCATCTTCCGAATAGTACTCCCCATCTCTAAGCACTAATGTCTTTCGATTTGAGCATTGATTCGCCTTGTGTCCGCGGCCAAAGCATTTAAAACACTGAATTTGGGCACTAGAGGGATACGATCAGGTGACTAAGGGGCGTCCCTTAGTCACTTGCCTAAGTCAATCTCAACAATTCAAGCTAATTAAAATTCAATGGCTCTAATAAATTCAATTTAATGAAGGGTAATGTAGTAATTGCATGGTTCATAATAATTTTATTAATTAATAAGTAATAATTAAAAAAATTTCAGCACGTCTCCTCGCATCAGCTGACCAGAATTTACCGCCGGCCGATGAGGATTTTTCGGCGCCATTTTTGTGCATCCCGCCACCATTAATGGTGCGTCCCATAGAATAGAGAGAGAGAGACTTTCCGGCAACCAGCGACATCGGAGAAGAATTCCCGGCGACAGTGCTGAATTTGTGATGTTTGTTGACATATTTTGTAATATTTGTAAGTCTGGTTTGCAATGTTTGTATCGATTCAGTTTGTATTGTTTATCATTCTTGTTTGTCATTTTTAGTGACATTTTGTACGTTTAGTATGATTTGTATTGTTTGTCGGTTTATTTTGTAATGTTTGTACGGTTTGTTATTTTGTAATGTTTGTCAGTTTCTTTTGTAATGTTTGTAACCTTTGTTATTTTTGTGCACCATATTTATAATTTTTGTCAACCATGTTTGTAATATTTTTTATGTCTAAAAAACAAGCTAGTTGACTTTTGGATAAAATTCTTCTTTATTGGGATGAAGCCTCCAAAGTCAACCCAGGTGTTTTTCCAGTTTGTATGATTTGTCGGTCTAGTTTGTCATTTTTGTCCAACATGTTTGTAATGTTTGTATGTCTAAAAAACAACCGGGTTGACTTTGGGACATAATCCCTCTATATAGAGAAGAAGCTCCAAAGTCAATCCAGTTGTTTTTTCTTTTTGTATGGTTTGTATTGTTTGTGAGTCTAGTTTGTATTGTTTGTACAGTTCATACATTTGTAAAGTTTGTAAATCTGTTCGTATGTTTTGTCGTTGTAGTTTGTACTGTTTGTATGTTTGTATGGGTTGTACTGATGGTAAATCCGGTTTGGATACTTCGTAATTTTCATAATACCCAAACTACTTCTATCATTAATTAAATGGGTTAATTGCAAGGTTGGTCACTGGGTTTACTAAAAACGTTCATGTTTGGTCACTAAAAATATCTAATTCCATTCGTGGTCACTAAAATTAGTCAATGTTAGAAGTGTAGGTACCAATTTGTAATTGTACATATAAGTGACGTGAGTTGGGATTAGGGTTGTAGGTTGGCCGAGTATATATATGTTGTGATGGCTAACCTACATAAGATACATAGAAAGTAAAGATCGATCTCTGCCTTGTGCCGTGGACTAGTCTTGACGATTCTCGTCAAAGAAACCACGTAAATCCGTGTCTCTTCTCTCTCGTATTCGTGTGTTCGTATAATTATCTGTCAAACATTTCAAATTTGGTCACTTTCCGTCTAACTACGTTAACTTTATCTGATGTGACAGTCAACTTTCAAAATTAACTGTTAACTAAATGACGTGGCTATTAAAAATAATAAATAAAATAAGATTTAATCATTTATAATTTCCAACTCATTTTCACAATAAAATGAGTGACCTGACTAAGTAGTAAGCACCCCAGTCAAACGATCCGGACTCCTCCCACGACATCAGCCAAAAAAATGAAAACCCGAACTGCCGTCGTAGACCACTTCCCCACGATACCATTTCCCCCACGTCTCTTTCTCCACTCCTTCCGAGTCAAGTACTACCAGCCAACTAAGCACCATCCGCCTGGTCCAATCTGGTCAATCAGAAACACCAACTCGATCCTCAACATCCTCCTCCACCAAGCAGAGCTGAGCAGTTCCTCCTCAGTCCACCACACGATACTCTCAAGTCCCAACCCCACAGCTCCAGCAGCCGCGATGGGCAAAGCAACTGCCCCTTCCTCCCCTGCAGCTCCGACCTTCAACCTGGTCGGATTCTCCAACTTCGTCCGCGCCAACCCCCGCTCCGATCGATTCAAGGTCAAGCGCTTCCACCACATCGAGTTCTGGTCAACCGATTCCACCAACACCTCCCGCCGCTTCTCCTGGGGGCTCGGCATGCCCATCGTCGCCAAATCCGACCTCTCCACCGGCAACGTCACCCACGCTTCCTACCTCCTACGCTCCGGCGACCTCCGCTTCCTCTTCACCTCCCCTTACTCCCCTTCCATCGCTCAGATGGACAACCTCTCCCACACCGCCACTGCTTCCGTCCCGACTTTCGACCACGACGCCTGCCGCCGCTTCTCCGCCAAGCACGGCCTCGCGGTCAGGGCCGTCGCTATTGAAGTCGAGGACGCCGAATTCGCCTTCCGCACCAGCGTCGCTCACGGCGCCAGGCCATCCGCCGAGCCGATGGTGCTGGACGGCCGTGCCGTAATCGCCGAGGTAGAGCTGTACGGCGACGTCGTGTTGCGGTACGTGAGTTATAAGAACCCTAGCGATTCCGATCCCGATTGTTGGTTTCTGCCCAAATTCGAGTCGGTAGACGAGGCATCAGCGTTCCCTCTGGACTACGGGATCCGACGATTGGACCACGCCGTGGGAAACGTGCCGGAATTAGGCCCAGCGGTGGCTTATGTGAAAGGGTTCACTGGTTTCCACGAGTTCGCCGAGTTCACGGCGGAGGATGTGGGGACGAGCGAGAGCGGGCTGAACTCGGCGGTGCTGGCCAATAACGAAGAAATGGTTCTGCTGCCGATGAACGAGCCGGTGTTTGGGACCAAGAGGAAGAGCCAAATACAGACTTATCTGGAGCACAACGAAGGAGCTGGGGTCCAGCATCTGGCCCTTATGAGTGAGGATATCTTCAAGACGTTGAGGGAGATGAGAAAGAGAAGTAACATCGGCGGGTTCGAGTTCATGCCTTCTCCGCCGCCCACATACTACAAGAACTTGAAGAACAGAGTTGGTGATGTGCTGAGCGACGAGCAGATTCGGCAGTGCGAGGAGTTGGGGATCTTGGTGGATAAAGACGATCAGGGCACCCTGTTGCAGATCTTTACCAAACCTGTTGGTGACAGGTAATTTGCTGGAAAAGGGCTGATTGAAATCTGTTTCCATCTTTGGTATTCCATTATTAGGCTTTCCTTGATACCGGAGTGAAAGTGATTTCTTACATAGCGTGCTTGCACAGGTTTTTTGTTGTTGTTATTGTTGTTATATATCTATCATTTGGGTTGATAGACTTGAGTGCAATGGTTAGTCTCTCACCATTGTTTTGAGCTGAAGCTTCATCGTGTTGCTTGGTATGCTTCAAGGGTTCAGTAGTTCATATGTTTTGCTTCTTTGATCTTATAACTCTGTGCACAGCTCATCTTTGGTAGCAGTGGTGTTTGCCTGGAGTATGAGATCTGTGGTATCTTCTGCTGCCTCTTAGCTTAACCATGGAGCAAGAGGCTATGTCCTGTATTTTTTTTGTCTGTTATCGCACCTCTTGTGAAAATTGAGCGAGTGAGTTGGGAATTTGTTGTGTGTGTTGACAGGCCGACCATCTTCATCGAGATAATACAGAGAGTGGGGTGCATGATGAAGGATGAGGCAGGGAAAGAGTTCCAGAAGGGTGGTTGTGGGGGATTCGGGAAGGGCAACTTCTCCGAGCTCTTCAAGTCCATCGAGGAGTACGAGAAGACATTGGAGGCCAAGCGACCTGCAGAAGCCGCTTCCGCATAGGTGATAGATAGTATCAGAATTTGCCATACCATTGTGTATCATTATGAAGAGAATGCCAAACATTCATTTGTGCTGCTGTAGCTTGTATGTGTCATGTCCTTCAATCACTCTATAACTGTAACTCTATAAGTGAATACCCGCTCGGTTACAGGTCGTTAGCAGGCCGATCTAAATTGTGTTATTTGAAGAAAATAAAATAAAAATAAAATTTTATGATAAAATATGAGGACAACACTTGATGAATGAAAATAAGTGATAAGATAATGAGTGAAAATATGAATACAGAACAATCAAAATGGGAGAAAAGGCAAATGGGAATTTAGTAAGTCGGTATGAAAAATTCTCCTTTTTTAGTCTACAACCCTAACCTGACTACCAAACAGAACCAGCTCCTTTTCATAGAGCAAACCTCGACAAATTATTTTTTTGGCGCTCTTTAGGTCCTGACCCAGAAGCCCAATTTCTCTTGGTGGTATCTACTTTCTTGTACTTTACCAATTTCAGCATCGATTGAAACTCTACCTTCCTCGTTTATCAACTTACTATACCTATCAACTTTTATGGTCTCTGGTCGCCCACAAAAACCCCAGTGCTCACTTTTACGTATGGTATGAAAGACAAGAACCAAACTAAGAAAACAAGCCTCCTGCAATGTTGCCCATGGGGACTCCATAAGCTCCTCCAACAAAATATTATATAACCGACCCAAATTTGATAGATTTTGTTTAAAAAACATAACCAGCCTCCTGTTGGTCTAGGTTCCCCTCCGCCGCCAGTCATCAGATGATCTCTTCCCATGTACTAGAAACTTACACCAATCAAATAGGTTCTTTTACATTATAATTTATATACATAATTAATAGTTTATTATGACTTGTTACCCATTGATATGTAGCTCGTGAGCTAGCTTACTAAAGACCAATAAGATAGATTATATATCTTCCATTATCCGATTTTTTTATGCTTTCCTACATAGCTACATATGCATCTCATTTATAATGTGTATAAGATAACTAAATATATCTCGTTGTAGTGGATTTGGTGGAAGAAAATGGAGATATAAAGGAAAAAGAAGGTGAGATTCATTTTTCAGAGAGAAGGGTGTAAGAGGAAGGATTGTACCGCATCGATGGTGAATAAGTGATCCCAAATCTCACTCATGTATAAAGTTGGGTGCCTTCTCCCTTCCTTTTACTTATTCCAGAAGAAGTGTAAATAACTTGCCCTTCATATTTGAGCCTCTTGATATGGTCGTCTTCTAGTCAACGATGACTGCTTTGGCTGTTGTCAAGTTGAGTTTTGGGTTGTGCAATTTATCATCAGCCCATTACAAAGTCATTTGTCTTTTATGTTGGCAAATAGAAATTTTGCTAATAAGTTGGCATCTTTAGGCTTTGCCAATTGCAAGTCCTTAATTGAGCTCAAGCATTGATTTCAGTTGATGCACGAAGCTGAAGTTTAGTTTCTTAGAGCTTGTGTCAAGTACTAGCTGATCTCGATTTTGAATTTTGAATTTGAGCTTGAGCTAGCTAAAAGTTCCACTTGTCTAGAGTTTCAATTTGAAATTTTGATATCGAACTTAACTTAGCTAAAAGTGGTTTAGGATCGATTGCAACGCTAGTTAAAATATATTTGAGAAACTATTATAAATTAACCCAATTGCTTCTTTATAGTGCACATAACCTAACATCCATTATATGAATTAAAGTGACCATTACTTTTAACAATCATTTTTTTTAGAAAAGTTTACTTAATTTGTCTACTTGTTTTCCATGATTCTACATTTGTTGCAACTTTTGCATTACATAATCGTTATTTTACAACACCCAAGTAAATATTTGACCCATTTAAGATGTGCTCGAGTTGCATTTCAATTTGAAGATGAGGATAACCTTAGTTTATTAAGTTATACGATTGTGATAACTCAATCATTTAAACGAATACAAAATTAATTTATCACTTTAAAAAGCTTTTTAACTCTTATAAGTACTTATAAAAAAATATAAGTGCATATATGTGGTAGAAATTAATTTCTAAATTTTTTTCTTCTACAAATTAGTGTAAGTTGTAAGTTGTAACAAGTAAAGAGTAAGTAACACAATGCGCTAATCCGAACAACCCGTAACCCGATCCGCTCACAACCCGTCCGACCAATAACCCGATCAATGATCGATCTGTAACCCAATGAACCCGCAACCCGATAAACCCGTAGCCCGATAAACCCATAACCTGATAAACCCGTAACCCGGTAAACCCGAACGCGACTGACCCGCAATCCGATGAACCCAAAATCTGACTAACGCGAAATCCAATTGAACCCAGCCCGAACCCGCTCGATTGACACCTATAATAGTGTGTACTGCCAATCATCGGTGGCACCTCAAAAACAATTGAAGTCGGGTGAACTTTACTTCCATCTTTTTGTGCCAAAACACACTCTCGGATGTGGACCTTGCCAACTAAGGAGGTTTAGACACTTCACGTGTGCATTGGGTGATTCTTAAGAAAACGTGTGAAAAGCAAAGGACTCCATGGTGGTGATCCTGCTTCCTTTTTTAAAGAGGACTCAAATTTTCGAGCCTCAACTTAGGTGAATGGGTTGGAGTTGGTCTTACAACAAGTGAGGGTTGAGGATTCACTATCTTTACCCAATACTTCATTACATACTTGAAAGTTTCATCCTCAATATTCAATCCTCCTTTATACTCTCTCAAACTTGTCAGAATGATGTAACTACTGTTTGGTTCTGGTTTTTAGAATTTTGCAAGACCTCTAGGAATTTGAGTCTTTCTTGGCATGTAGTATATGACTTTGTGGATACCTCCAAAGACACCCCGTCAAACGCCATTAAAAAATAATCTTATGCAATGAGAAATATCTTAGTTCTCCAGGTAATTTCGAAGGAGTAGGAAACGTTGGTTTAGAGATTTATCCGCATCAACATTTTACACCACCTTAAGTTAACTCTTGAAGTCAGCAATGCACTGGACAAAACAAATGCACAAGGTAGCAGGAGGGTTGGATGATGATGAGCCAATACTAGAGAGTATCCAAACAAGCTCGGATATGCTTCTGTATCCAACAGGCCCATTTCTTTCCTTTTCACTTTTCTATTGCAAAAAGTCTACGAAATTAGAGTGTTGGGGAGAGACTTCCAGGGGAAAATGAAACGTAGCCTTTCTAGTTTCCACTAATGCGTCCCCATTTTTCCAAATTTCAATCCTCGAACCAAAATTTCATAATAAAACATGGAAAGGTAGCTAGCCCTAATACGATTCTCTACATTGGGTCTCCTGCGCGGCTTCCTTTTTCTTGCTTATCGGGAACAAAGATAGGTATAGTAAGTTGATAAACGAGGAAGGTAGAGTTTCAATCGATGCTGAAATTGGTAAAGTACAAGAAAGTAGATACCATCGAGAGAAATTGGGCTTCTGGGTCAGGACCTAAAGAGCACCAAAAAAAAAAAAAAAAATTTGTCGAGGTTTGCTCTATGAAAAGGAGCTGGTTCTGTTTGGTAGTCAGGTTAGGGTTGCAGACTAAGAAAGGAGAATTTTTCATATCAACTTACTAAATTCCATTTTGTAGCAGTGGTGTTTGTCTGGAGTATGAGATCTGTGGTATCTTCTGCTACCTCTTAGCTTAACCATGGAGCAAGAGGCTATGTCCTATATATTTTTGTATGTTATCGCACCTCTTGTGAAAATTGAGCGAGCGAGTTGGGAATTTGTTGTGTGTTTGACAGGCCGAACATCTTCATCGAGATAATACAGAGAGTGGGGAGCACGATGAAGGATGAGGCAGGGAAAGAGTTCCAGAAGGGTGGTTTTGGGGGATTGATAGGCGTTTTACTTATTTGGGATTTATGTCGGTTTGAATTATTTAGTTCGGGTTTATTTTGGTTATTGGGAAATAATTGGGGGGATTAATAAGTTGGGGTAGTTAGTAGGTAATTGTGTTTGGGTATTTAAACTATTGTTTTACGTAGGTAAAGGTAAGCAAAGATTAAACCTAAATACTAATTGCACTCTCTCTCTCTCTCTCTTCCTCTCTAGGCCGCCGAGCCTTCTTCTTCTTCCTCCAAGCTGCCGATTGGCAGCAGTCTCTTTCCCTCCTCTCTTCTCATTCCAATCACCCAAATTCACCGTCTCTCAATTCCCCAATTTCCCGGATCAATCCCTAGTTGATCCCTAATTCCCAATCTCCCGATAGAGCTTAATCCGGAGCTCTATCAGGGATTCAGGAAGGGCAACTTCTCCGAGCTCTTCAAGTCCATTGAGGAGTACGAGAAGACATTGGAGGCCAAGCGACCTGCAGAAGCCGCTTCCGCATAGGTGATAGATAGTATCAGAATTTGCCATGCCATTCTTGTCATTGTGTATCATTACGAAGAGAATGCCAAACATTCATTTGTGCTGCTGTAGCTTGTATGTGTCATGTCCTTCAATCACTCTATAACTGTAGCTCTATAAGTGAATACCCGCTCGGTTACAGGTCAAAGCAGGCCGATCTAATTTGTGTTATTTGAAGAAAATAAAATAAAAATAAATATTTATGATAAAATATGAGGACAGCACTTGATGAATGAAAATAAGTGATAAGATAATGAGTGAAAATATGAATACAGAACAGTCAAAATGGGAGAAAAGCCAAAATGGAATTCAGTAAGTCGGTATGAAAAATTCTCCTTTCTTAGTCTGCAACCCTAACCTGACTACCAAACAGAACCAGCTCCTTTTCATAGAGCAAACCTCGACAAATTATTTTTTTGGCGTTCTTTAGGTCCTGACCCAGAAGCCCAATTTCTCTTGGTGGTATCTATAGGTATCAAAGTGAGCCCGTCGGGTTGAATCGGGTTGCACTTTTTCGTAATTTACTATTTGGGTGGCTCTGATACCAATAATTCTTTCAGGTCTCATCAATAATTCTTTCATGCAAAAACGTCGGCATAAAAGTCTCATTCTTTCATGTCTCATTTTCAATAATTCTTTCATTTTCTTTGTTTTCTATTTCTGCAAAAATTTCTTCTTTTCATTTTCTTTCATGGAATAATCCAAACAAAGATGGTCCAAAAAAATCTTTTTTAATTTTCGAAAAATCTATTGTTTTCTTCTAGAAATATTACTTCTAATTTTAAACTTATTCTATTGTTCTTGATTTTATCTATTTTCTAGTTTCTGTTTTATTTTGTTTAAACTAGTTATTATATCGGTAATTAATTCAGTTTTAAATACGGCTTCTTCCAAAGTTTCTGAATTTCCAATACACATTTGTTCTTCTACAATATCTGATACGAAGTGAGATAATTCTAATGTAACCGTATTAATGTCGTTTACTGATGTAAGGTCTATTGCATTTATTCCTTCTATCAATTTATTTATGTAATGAGTGTTAAGCATCTTTACAAATTTTCACTCATTTCTACGATTAGTTCTTATAACTTTTTTATTTCACTAGTATTATCATTTTGATGAAGTATAGTTATGTTTTTTATTTCCTTGTTTTCTTCTTTCTCCATTTCCTTCTGCTTATCGGTTAGTCTCATGGAAGAACTTCTCTCATCTATACTTATTCTTGGATGATCATAATTTAATTTTATTATTTTTAGAGGGGATTCTAATTGAATTAATGGTTTGAATAAATCTTCTATGGTGATGGCTTCCTTATCTTTAAACGCTAGACTATGATGACTATTGGTCAGTGCATAGTTTATCTGGTATGTTACCGAAAAAGGTTTATTGTTTTCTTTCATGAAATTTTTCTTTTCAATTCATACTTTATAATAATGGAAGAGTCGAGATTCCCATATGTTAAACTAATTCCTTGTTGTAGATTAATATCGAATTTGATTATTCCTACTCCTAGATTTCCTTTTCCTTTTCCTTTTGCAATAATACTCTCTTCTCTATTGATGAGTCGATCATCTCTTATTTCTAGTTCTATATGTGCACTTATCCCTGTTTTCATAGTAGATTTTAGAATGATTTGTATCGTGCTAATGTGAATATAAGCTATTTTATTTCTTTCTTCTTGTTGTAACTTGGATAATTTTTTCCTAATTTGTTCCCTATTTATTATTTGAATTAGGAAATCTCCCTTAGTTTGTTCTATTGGTACTGCCGTTTCTCCTATCATCTTTTCATATTTAATTATATTTTTTCTATCAAATAGTTTGGATAAAAAAGACTTAGTAATAAAATTTTACGTTTCTGATAAGGTAAAATTATTTTGTTCCTTAATTTTCTTGACATCTAATATTCCATCTTGAAAATAATTTTCTTCCTCATTTTTACTTAAATAATCAAAGTAACTGTTACTGCTACTGGGGTTATCCGACATACCTGATTGTTGCTTAGGTTGATTGATGCAACTTCTTGCTATTTAACGTCCCCATGATGGTGTAGTGCGAAGGAGGCTGATTGCTTATGATCATTGAAATGGTGTTGGAGAATTCTTTGTGGTGTTAATGGTTGGTGTATAGTTTTTTATGGATAGGTGGTAGTGGATATGAGCGTCTCCAGAGTATTATCTCAAACACTCTGTGCCGAAGTACCAAGACTACACTTAGTCTTTTGAGAGAGAAATCTCAAACTTTTATTCTACTCTGCCCCCTTATGAGGTTCAGATGTACATATTTATAGATGCAGGGGCTTTGCCTGCTTACATATGTACTTACATCATTCTCCACTTAAAAGAGAAAGCAAACACACTGTACACACGTTTTTGCTTTATGGGCTACATTATTGATAAGAAAAAGAAAGAAGAATCTTTAGTCATTTTCTTTGTCTGATTCTTGAAGCATTGTCTTCTTTTCTTTCGTTGATGTTGCCTTTTCTTTTCTTTGTTTGATTCCTGAAGCATTGTCTTCTTCCCCATGGTGGATTACATTTCTTTGATTCCATTACTGCTACTAGTGGAGGTAGTCATATCTGTTGCACAGTGGGTGCATATGTGATCCTCATGTAGCTGTAATAATTCACAAAGTTGCTGTTTTTGTTCTGACGTTATCGGGACTAACGTTCCTTCTAGATTGATAAAATCATTGGCTAGATCTGTGATGAATCCCCATTCTTACGCTGTGATCTGATTTTTAGAATTGCTGATGATGATCTTGTTGGTGCTGGTATAATTGACTTTAATATTATATGTTGGGTTAAGATAATATAGGGCCTGACTTACTGAATATGATGATCTGACTTGATAGTCCTCTGGTATCCTGGCTGTCTCTAATTCATCTCTGGTTGGATAGTTGCCATTAGATACTCCCATTTTGATGATTGCTTTTGATGGCACGACCATTTCTTCCTTGTTGAATATCAGATAGCTGGATGTGTATCGCAGATAGATTTCTCTACCCTTGGCGAATGAGTTTAGATACCTTTTTACGACTATCTTGAACTTTGTTGGGAATTCTTCGAAGATATGAGTCTTCTGTGTGTATATTGTGTCAATTAATCCATATTGATGGAGAGCAAATAGTGTTGTTGGTGCGATTTTATCTGTGATGATGACTGCTCTTGGACCTCCCTTAAAGGTTGGATAGAAGCCCATGGTAGTATGAATTTCCTTGTAATTGAGAAGATCTTCCCAGCATTGTTGGAATTTTTGAAGTGTAGGTCTATTGATTTCTTCCTTTTGCTTCGTGGTTGGAATATCCTTAATGCTGATGCTTGGTATCTTCATCACTAATCTTTGTTGTGGAGTGGCTGACTCTGTCTTCTGTTTCATAGCAATTGCCTTGTATGATTCTCTTAATGCCTGCTCTGCTTCTTCTTTGGTTGAAATTGATTGGTGTTTGATGTTGTATCCCGTAACATGGTGATATACTATTTCCCAGTTGTTATAGAGTCCCCGAAAAGGTCCGTCGTAAATGACATACCATTTTTCCTTTTTTTATTTTCTTTCGTCTTCTTCGTTTTTCTCGTCTTCTTCCACCATGTCTGCCCATTTTGTAGATGGTAGCTGAATAGTTTGCTGTTGCAGAATAGTTTGTGATTGAGCAGTGCTTTTAGTTTGTGTTTGCAGAATGGTAATGGTGGTTCTTATCTGCTCCAATTCCCCCCGCCTTTGAGAATTTGAACTTCGAGGGTACGTATATGCTCTTCCTTCTGCTTTTGATGATGCTGCATTTGCTTGATTATTCCTTCCATTCCCTTGTAAGGGTGTCTGCTAACGGATTGGCTGTTGACTTGATATACTTCAGATATGGTTGATAATAGTGAAGTTGTTGTTGCCAACGAATGAGTCTTCCTTTATTGAAGTCTGCATCCAGCTTGTATCTCCAAAATCCTGTAACATATTTAGAGTCGGTTCGTAGTTCGAATCGACTGGTCAGTAATTCTATTTTCCATTTTTTCAGTGTTCTAAGACAAGCTAGTTTCTCTCAGTAGAGGAAAATGTTCCAGATATATATTTACATAACTTCCTTGGATATTTGTCTGTATTGAATAGTGTTGTATAGTTATATTGTTTCGAAACATTTGATTTATTACTTCGTCGAGATAGTGGTGAATCGTTCGATTCATTATTGATATTGGGTGAATCATTCGATTCATTACTGAGTATATTGCCATAGTGATCAAGTGATAGTAACTTTTTGCCTTCTGGTATTGCAAGTATGCAACCTGCCCATGTATCCCTTGATGCATCTGTCTCAACAATAAGAAAATCTCGATCGCATGGGTTATATAAATTTAGTAAATGATCACAACTGGCTTTCATAAATCATACTACCTCTGTATCCTTATCATCCCATTTCCAAGGCATTTTATCTGATATTTTTTGCCGAAGATATTTTATTTCCTTCGCTAAATTTTTTAGAAATCCTTGCTCACTGATGTAATTTAGACTTCCTAAAAATCGTTGTATTTGTTTTCTATTTTCCATTTTATCTGGAAATTTATCTAATTTTTCTTTAACATTAGTGGTTAGTTCTATTTCTCCTGTACTATTTATTTTCATTCCCAAATATTCAATTTCATTGACTAACAATTTAGATTTCTTTTTTGAAATTACCAGTCCTTTTTCTTTTAGTCTTTCCAAAACTTTTATTAGTTTTTCTTCATGATCTGTCCTATCTTTATTTGAAAAGATAATAATATCAGTAATTTATGCTAAACAAAAAATTTTCAATCCTTCTAGATTTTTATCCATAAATCTCTGATAAATTCCTGGGGCTTGCTTAATTCCAAAAGGTAATACATTCCATTCATAATGTTTTTGTGGTGGACATGAAAAAGCTGTTAAGGATTTTGTATTTTCATGAAACTTTAATTGCCAATATCCTGATTTAGCGTCTAGGCTACTGAACCAAGTTTGTCCTTTCAATCGTTCCAGAATATAATCTTTTCTTGGTAATTTATAACTGTCTCCCATAGTGTGTTCATTGAGTTTTTTGTAATTATTACCATACGTCTTTTTCCCCTTTTAATTTCATTATTATTTTCTACATAGAATGCCGGAGCACTATGCGGACTTTTACTTTCTCGAATAATATTTTTACTGAGTAATTCTTCACATTCTGCTAGAAATTCTTCTACATCTCGTTGAGTATATTGTATTTTATTTGGAACATTAACTTCGATATTTGGATCTTTTAGTTTAATTTTTATTAATTCTGAATTTGTATTTTTTATATTATCTAAAGGGTGTTCACTACAAACTTCCTCTAGTTTTTCTTCAACTATTCCGTAGGCTACTTGGATATATTCAAGCTTATTTTTAAGTCTTTGTAAGACAGTCCTTAATACTTCATTTTTTGTTATTATCTTGGTGGTAACGATTTTTGACTC